GTAAGAGCAGAGAAAGTTCGAGTTGGTTGTGATGGTTGTTGAATATGGTGGATAATAAAGACAACCGGTTTGGATTACTTAGATGTGGCTTTGTTGTTCATTTGTCTCAGTGAGTGAATGAGAGACATAACAGTCATGTATGAATAATCATGCATATCATTTCACCTAACTGACCCAAAATAGCGCCCTCTAAAATTTCTGCCTTAACTGTATGGGAAAAACCATGCGCCCGGGTCCCTCCCCCCTACATTCCCCCCTCCCCCTACATTTTTCAGAATTAACAAGAAATTGAGAAAAACCAGGACCTTCTACTCAAATTTTCAGTCTAAAATTTCAATTTCCGAACATCTAGACGTGCCATAGGCCTAATCATAAATTTTTCTACCTCAACCCGAACCAGCTGGGCCTGAGGTAGATCCTCAAACTGTGAAAGTCCTTCTCTGGGCCCCTCTATTTCGAATTCCTGGATACATGCAAGATGGAACCAGAGGAATTTTAATTGAATTCTCAGCCTTGAGATAAGCTAGGGGGTCAAGGGCCACGTTCCCCCGCCGCCAGGTTTGGGGTGGGGGAGGGTCGCTGAAATGGGAGAATGAGTTTTTAAAAAATGACCACTTTTTAGAAAAGCATGACGAAATTGATGTATGTTGTCAGGTATGAATATTTTCCAGTTAATAAAAATCTTAGTAGTAGTAGTTTTTTTTTTGTTTTTTTTTTTTGGCAACTTTATATAGATCGTGATTTCTTTTCAGTCCACTTCGACAGTTTTCTATTTTTTTTATGCTGTAATGACTACATGACTAAGCTCATCCTGCCATATCTCAGAGCCACGATGGGACAAGTGAGACTATCTGTTTGGCACTCCTTAGTACGGAGCGCGATGAAGCAGACAACATTGCTAACTTTGATCATGTTATTAACTTACTTGCAGGTGCAAAATTCATTTGCGAGTTTAAACAATGTTACAAATTCAGCAACATATACAAGCCAATAAGAATACCGTACTTAGCTGTGCGATAAATACAACAGCCTTACAAATTAGGATAATGGTAAAAGTTTTATACAAAGTTTCGAACATCGTAATACAGTTTCAGTGTAGTAAGAAACAGGGGTGGCGCGACCGGGAGGGACATCCTCTTTCGGGGATAGCTCTCCCCCCCCCCCACTACACCGGTCGGAGAGAAAAACCATAATTCGTCGGGTAGAAAAAAAAAATTATATGTAGGCCTATTTTGTACATATTAGTAGACTATGCTAGACTAGATATATTAAATAAGCCTTTGAAATCCATAAATTGCCACAGACCACTTTAGGAACATTTTAAGAGACACTCGACCACGCCCACTTTGCTCTCGTCAGGGAAACCCCCTCGTTAGGGCATCCCCCCCCCCCCCCCCCCCCCCCCCCCCCCCCCCCCGCCCCATGATACGGACGTACGGTACGGATATGCTTAAAGCCTATACAACCAATATCAATTTATTTCACAATATTATAATTATAATTGGGGGAAGGGGCGCAATTTTCTACTCTTGCCCCCGGGCGCCAAAATCTCTAGCTACCACTTATAAGAAGCAAATCGTGTATAGGCAAAAAGTGGAATTTAGCCTTTTTCCTATTCCAAATCTGAACTTTGAACAACCAATGCATTCTCAAAATTAGCACAGATAGTAAAAATATCTGGATAATTCTAAAGGTGACAATGTCTAGTTTGATTTTTATATGCAGTAGAGGGTTTTTTGACAAAGTCAAAGTCAAAGTCAAAGTCAAACTTTATTCATCCTTCAACAAAGGAAACTGAATGCTCGCATAAAACTTTTAAAAACAATGTACAATCACATAAAAAAATATTCATAAAATTAACGTTTAAAATGTGCATTAAAAAGTTTAATCACAGCAGGAATAAATGAACAGGAATAACGATTGGTGTGGACAATCGAAGGCCTCAGCCTACCACTTCGCTGAAAGACGACATATTGATGGAGTGGATGACATGCATCTCTAGAAACTCCATCAAACACCGCCTTCAGCTGTTTCATATAAACTGACTCCACCGACTGTTGATCCACACCAATCATCGTTCCTGCTCTCCTGATC